ATTTTCACAAATTTTACTTTGGTGCCATTTTATAGTTGAATCTTCATTGCCAGCCTGAATGAAACGAAGCCTCCAAATAAAGAGTGATATCGAACACGTTGTAAAAGATGAAATAGTTGAGTGTAGAACTGACTCTTTTTTATACTATCAAGTGACGAGACGAAATCCCCAAGATCTTAGGGCCATTGCGCCCGTCACCGTGAGACATAAGTTGACAAGTCCCATGTGCTGGGTGTTTGTGGTACAGTCGTTGTTTCCAATATCCATAACACAAGTGCTTACTTGGTTACTTACTTTACAAAGTATATGACGTTGTCTAATACAATATTTATTTACATACCACACATATAATCAACTAAGTCTACCAATAACAATCATTACATTTCATTATTTTTTACCATTATTTTTTATGTCGGACATAATGGATCTAATTTAAAAACTTTCGCAAAGTTACGTAAATACCTATGCTTTTGTGGATTCTTCTGATCTACAAAAGAATACAACCACCATGGTTCAGATGTTAGCACTGTACGCTAAATAAGAAGTCCTACGTTCTATTCTATGTAATACCAATTCGCACCCTTGATGTTTCTGCATTACTGCGTTCAGGTTTTGAAGGGTCCTGGTAAAATTACAGGCACATGAGACTTCTCTTCTTATGTCTCAGAGTGACAGGCGTAATGGCAGTGTCCCTCAGATCTTTGCGTATTAAAGCTCTCAGTGGCACTGCAACTGTTATCTACAGGCGTGTATCTTACCATCAGGCGCACGACTTATTAGCTACTTACTTTGGGATCAAAGCAACATATGTGATGTTGTCTAATATTTATATTTACTATACAGCAATTATATAACGTTTTTAAACTTTCACTCTGTTTTGACTTATATGGTAAATGCACTTGTAACGTTTGAAATGTATTAATTAACTATATGAATATGATTTCTCTTAAATTGCGATGCCCCGGCGATGTGCTACATGTCTAGGGGACAATTTAAATGTATTCTAGATCTAAAGATACCATGTAGAAATGCAATAAATAGATATATGAATATCAAGTATAATTTCATGTGGCCTTGTTAAACCAAGGGTATGAATTTAGGAAGCGATCTATTCTTTGCTCTAAGTGTTCGTGTAGAGTACGTCAAGTTCCTTACTCTATTAGTCGGGGTACGCCGTAGTTTTAAGCGAGGTAGTGGGGTGTTTGTAAATGTTCTGGCATGCCATCATTGTTTGTATTATCAATGAACAATGTCCCTTCTGTATTTAAAAGTTAAGAATAACCTGTCTGTAATAATAACAAACCTTTTTCTTTGTCTGCAGATAACAAAACAAGAAGATGTCAACATCGATCATAAGATAGCCAAAAATTAAAAATGGACGAAGGCAGTGAGAAAATTTTGAACGATTATGTCAGCATACCGTTAAATGATTCTAAACCAGAAATTTATGACAGTCGGAATGAGAGTTTTTACAATAATCTAACATATTATGAACAGAATTTCTCGTATTCCAACTTCAGCTCTATAGATTTTTGTCCAAATTTTTCTCATGTCTTTATCAACGTCACATGCGAGTTTCCTATCAGTTATGCCGAACCTATGTACGGGTAAGTGTATTTGAACATTGTTTATTTTATTTTTAAATGGTATTTCGGCCCCACACTGGGCGTCAACTTTTTTATTTACTATGAAATTAACATTTTGGCCCCATACTGGGCGCCAATTTTTTCATAGGCCCTTATTCCGGTGCAAGTATTGACACGTAACGATCTTCCCTATCATTAGAGATGTCACTTTCGACAGCTGTCAGCTTTCGCGCCCCGATCTCGCGTTAATAGCTCTTGACGTTGCAAAAAATTATGCCATATAAAAATAAAAATTTATGCTGATGTATTTTTTTTTGTGGCCTAAGAGAGATCTAATGAGAAAATCTTAAAGGTAAATATTTGTAAAGCCGTAAAACTGCGTAAACGAATATAAAGAATTATAGACTATTTTTACCAAGGTATGACTTCGGTTTTGCTTTTCGACCCATAGCCATGGAACGTGTAATCAGAAGAACAAAAGTCATACCATGGTATGCAACCTGTAACTAATAGAATTGTTTACTGAATAGCTACGAACGTTATACTCTACCGGAACTTTCATATTATTATCATACATTTTTGTCACTCTCTCAAAACTGTATACTTTGTTCTTTATCATGCTGTTATGCAAGGCGGACAGCAACTTAAATAAATTAATATTATTATGGACATTTTTTTCGTTGATTATGATTAAAAAAAGGAAGGCTGCCAAACATAAAAAGAGGACTTTATTGACTATATTTTTATATAACTTTTTGTTAAATCTCTTTTTAACAACGCTTCTTAACACTACGTTATATACTTTATAATATGTATCCTTAAGAATGACTTTGGTAAATGGAATGAGTTTTTTGGTTGGAAAAATTAAATATTCGTAAAGGTCTTTAAGGTTGTCTTCAGGCTTTTGTTTATTCAACAACATTTAAATAGAATACTGAAACGTCTGCAATCGAGTTATGGCGTCTGATAGATCTTAAACAAAATTACAAGTAAGTTTACTCGAACCCACGTCCATGCTGCACCGTAGCATTGCTCTGACCATGTGAGCCACAGGTCTGTCCCCCCGGATCGACGAAATTTTTCTGTGTATTCGTGTATTCGATCTTTATATTCATAATCATAACAAAACTAGAGGAGTTATTTTACAAAAAACCTCAGCAAATATATTTGAAAAGCGACATCTGCGTCAATCGTGATACCTGTAAAGTTATCGGCTGCGGTGAGAAGGTTATTTAAAAATCTCTCACTAGATGTTACTAGCGGCGTCATATGCCGAAAAAATAAGTACAAAGATCTATAACAAAAACTCATAGGAGAATTTCGACGACTCGGTAACAGGACCCATGGCTCAGATGGCTAGAGCTATGCTACAGTGCAGCATGGACGTGGATTCGAGTCCCACCAGGTGTTCGATTATTGTATTCATAATCATAACAAAACTAGTGATGTTATTTCACTAAAACTCAATAAATACATTAAAACACATTTTTCCCTTGTGAATTTTATTCGTTGTACCTATAGAAATCGCGTTACAAATGATGAGCAAGCACGCCAATCAACTGTTTACATTTTAAATTTCTCGGAAAATTGGCGCCCAGTCTGGGACCCAAAATAAATCTTGGTCCTTGATATTTATTCCAAGAATTATTTTTAATAAGATTACATTATTTTTCACTCATAGTCGTTACTTTATGAACTAAGTCTCTAAGACTTAACTTTTAGACAATTTAATTAAGACATGGAAAATGGTAATATTACAGCTTGTAGACGTTTTTAGAATAGAGTATCAGGAATGGCGATCGTTAGTGTTATGTTCTATGTCCAACTGCAAACGTAGTAAATAAAATTTATATAGACTAAATTGTCGGCAAATTATGAACAGTAGATATTTCTAGATATGTCAAAATTATGTGTTAAATAGGACCAGAAGTAGGATTACATTCTGGACTTTGTAATATCATATAAAATTTTTATCTATTTGAATTTGATTGATATATGTTTTGTTATCCATAATTATAATAAATAAACATCTACTTATATACTCTACTTATAACTGCCTCCATGGCCGAACGGTTACCATGCCCGACTGCCACGCAGAGGTCCCGACTCGATTCTCGGGCCGGATGAAATATTTGAATGGCCTACATTTATTTCTCTCGTAAGTTTGGGTGTAATTTGTGGTTGTCTATTTGTGTGTCCATGGCACCCGCGACACAGGACTTCCCTAGTGCGGGGCACGTATTGCACCCGTTTAAAATAAAATACTCTATAAAATAAATAATCTTTGAAAATAATCTTTTAAAGCTATTCTGTGCCACAGATGTCAAAAAGATCGAAGTGCAGCTTTCTTGGCATCTACTCAAATTGTACAATTTTCAAACGGAATTTTTCGGCCTTTCTGTCAATATGTATCAAATATGAAAGCAACAAAAAAATACCACAATAATAATGAATATAGTGTTAGTTTATTTTTTCTTCTTCTTTCTTATTCATAGTTACAACACTCCAGCACATATCGACTATTAGGCTGAATTTACATCGCCGCGGAAGGGAATTAAAGCGAATTTTTGTAAACAAGCGTAATGAACTTTGTATCAATTATGTAACGTACAAACCAATACGAACCAAAAAACAGATCGCGCGTCATCCAGAATTACCGCACAGTTTCGTGAATTCCCGCAGACACCGTTACTGTATGTAATTTGTTACACAAATAAATGTCATTTACGCTATTTTCCTTTCTATATTCGCTTCCATTCCATTCCACGGCTATGTAAATCGAACCTTAAACAGTACCTGCCCCTCAAAAGCGCAGTACATTTATTTGTGTGTTTCCATTTCCACAGATACATCGCTCCGTTTCTTCTGGCAACAACGATAGTCGCAAACACCCTGATCGTGGTTGTTCTGTCCCGTCGACACATGCGTACACCAACAAATGTAGTTCTAATGGCAATGGCACTATGCGATATGTTCACCATGCTCTTCCCGGCGCCCTGGCTTTTCTACATGTATACCTTCGGCAACCATTACAAGCCTCTTGGTCCCGCTAGGGCCTGCCAGGCGTACAACTACATGAATGACGTAAGTACTGCGTTTTTTTGTCTACTTTTGTTGTATTCTCTTTCCAGAATTTAAAAAAATCTTTCCAGAAAAAGTACATGTAGACTACGAATTTGATGTGGATTGGTATTGGGCGCTACCCAAGGGTATAGGGATAGGTTAATAAGAAAAGAAGGGCAACTTCGGCCTGTTCGACGCATCAATGCCTTCACTACGTTAAGAACATAGGGTTGTCACATTATTATTTTAGTTGTATTGTATTATTTCATTATGAACATAAGTTTAGAAAAATAACGGTGCCTTACTTTCTCGAACTCGTATCCTGGAGTGATTATTCAGGAGACGTCATAATTTTCTATTTATTTTAAATTTCTTATCAAGGGTGTTAATTTGGGTGCTTTACTTTAAGAATAGGTAAAAAAGCTAGTGTGTAAATATGAAGGAAATATTGTGTGAAATCAGCCTGTAAAATATGTATGTAGATACAATCCATTTTTTGCATTTCAGTAACTTTGTGCTTTAAGATACGACTTTGAGAAAATCATACGACGAGAAGGTGTCTATCATAATATTTTCGCATAGGTATATCAATTATCGGAACATGATTATGAAATAGAAATGAAATGCTGAAGATTTGAATCATCATCAAAATCGTCAACCTATTTATACAACCCACTGCTGGGCACGGGTCTCCTCTCAGGCAAGGGCTTAGGCCATAGTCCGCCACCCTAGCCCAATGTGGGTTGGGAACTTCACACGATTTCCGAAGGTTGTAAACCTTCTTCGACATGCAGGTTTCTTCCCGATGTTTTCTTCCACCGAAAAGCACATGGTAAATTTCAAATTAAATTTCGCACATAATATCCGAGAAACTCACAGTGTGCGAGCCCGGAATCGAACCTACGGCCTCTGCCTAAGACGCACTAGGACAAACCATTAGGCTACCACACGGCTCCGGGCGGCGTCGTGGTGAATGTTCACTGATCCCACGGCGCCAACTCAACCGGCGAGAGGGAAACCCGGGGGGGTTTTAGTGGGGTAGGCCCTCCAGTCTGGAGGGAGAGTCCCCACATAACCCCTGAGTCTCCCTGGGCTCAGGGGTATCCATAAAGATTTCCCCCCCGTCAAAAAAAAAAAGGCTACCACACGGCTTCATGACTTATGATAGTAATTAAACTCTGTCCAACCATTTATTTAACTTTTGACAGCTCGAATTCTAATCAATTAGTGATGTCCTAATGCGTTTCCGATTCGATTTTTTATAACAATCGATTTTATTTATGAAGAAGATAAATCGTGAATATGAGCAGGTTCAAAACAAAACATATTGTCTGATTGGGATCGTGATGTTGCGTTTGACAATTTGTGTACTCAAGAATTAATAATGAATATTAATGAGGAACGATTCTTATAATAAACAATAAAAATTAGCTATAATTATTTATGATTTATTTCATTTCATTATAATTTATTAGACAGGTCCCAAAATTTATCAACTCGATTAATTTTTGTTACATAATCTATTGGCTCGATAAATATCGGAGCTAAAGGGGACATCGCTCCACTAAAACTAAAAAATAAAACAGCATTTTTTGTCTATGGTTGTATGTCAATAATTACGAAACTTCAGAGGCGTGCATATGTCAAAAGTTAAACGGTTGGACGGAGTATAAGCAAAATTTACCACGCCATCAATCGATCGTGCTACCGCATTTTCACATTCGTGCCAGTGGTAAAATGAAAGATGAACACGCGTAACCACTCCGTGAGATAAACGTGCGTTCGCGGTAGAAGCGGTTTTTCGAGCTTGAGTCTAAGGGGTCGTATTCCAGAACTCTACTCAATGGTCAAGTCAGGATTTGAGTATGATTTAAACCACTTGAAATCATACTCAAGTCCTTGCCATTAGGTTCGTATTTCCAGTGCTTGAATTCATACTCAAGTCCTGACTTGAGCATTGAGTAGAGTGAGTGAGTTCTGGAATACGACCCTTAGAAACGAATGGCAAACCCGAACTTGGGGCTAATCCAGAGTGCAGAGGCGCGGCGGTGGGTGTGGGTGCGCGGGTCTTGGCGTCTTCCATTTCACAGTGCCTAAGCGACTAAAACCGTCACTTTAGATCCACACGTCGAAGTTGCAAACAGACTGTGAACGCAACGAGCGCCTAAATATATTTGATTTGCACGCACTGTATAAGGCCTTACTCTTTACTAATGGAACAAAGGTCGTATAGGGACTCGTACACGAACATTTCGCGAAATGTTTTGACGATGTGTCAGTCCGATATGAGTGGCATGACACGCGTTCGTTATGTACCCAAATGTCTCTCTATCTGTCGCTTTGTGTTTTACATCTCTTTTATGCTCTGGTTTATTAACATGATAATGTTTGGTGTTAAAGGGTATATTGATAATATAAAAATCAAAAATGAAAATTCAAAAGAACTCTCTTTGGTAAGGGAAAGTAACACCTCTATAATACCATAGTATAATAATAGACGTAGGGTAACTCCATGCAACATAGCGCGGTTTGTATGTGTGCACGCCCGCCACGCGCTTTGTACGTATGCGAGATCACGAACACATTTGCATGATGTCGCGGGTTCTACGCGCCATTAATCATAGGATTTATAATAATAATAATAACCGACAGCCTCTCAAGCAGAGGCCGTGGGTTCGAACCCGGCCTCGCACCTCTGAGTTTTTCAGAATTTAATTTGAATTTTACCATGTGCTTTTCGATGAAAGTTCTCAACCCTGTGAAAACGCGTGAAGTCGTTCGTCGTTCGGCGAACCATGGCCCAGCAGTGGAATGTCTAAATGGGTTGATGATGATCCTATCATAAGGTTCAGCAGTTCCCAAAAGCAAAGTCTCAAGCTACCTTCTGCGGTTTGTAACGCTGGAAGACGTGACATAAATTTTTATTAAATTCTCCTATTCAGTTAACTATAAACGTGTTTTGAGAATAAATACGGTCAACGAACAAGCAAGCCTCCGACCCTTTTAACTCAATCGATTAAGCTGAGGACAGCAAAGTTAATATGTTGATATTAATTTTGTTAGATAGGATTCTTTCCAAGACATTCTAACCTTCTCTTTAAGATTCATCTAACAAAAAATTACATTTTCGTTTGTTTTTGAATCCTTTATTGTAAATTCAAATTCAAATTCATTTATTCAGATAACTAGGATCCATAAGTGTTAGCAACAATGAAACTTATAATTAGGTTAGTACTTAAATTCTAGAACAGATTTTGTATTATTAATGAGATGCCGCATTATGGGACACTCACACCTAACTGCAATTGTCTTCAGGAGGCTGTTACCGCTGCCACGTATTCTGTTCAACAGAGATGCTGATCTTTTGCGCAAGACTGCCATGAAGCTATCCACACGGGCTTCAGCAAACATGGCAGAAGCACTGCAAAACCGCGGCAGCCGCATCAGCGTCCTGAAGGCGTTATTGTATTGCGTGCGCATGGCCCTGAGCGAGACTTGGGTATAGCTAGCCCACAGAGCCCCGCGTACAGTGGTGTGCAGTAAGCTCTGAAAAGAGTGACCTTCACCTCCACCGTACATCGAGCGAACCTGCGAGCCAGCATGTTCGCCCTCACCGACAGTGCCCTGCGCTCGCGTTCTATATCCATATTGTAAAGATATTGAAACTCCTTTTATTGGGTAGTGAATTTTGCAATGTGGAAGAATCGTAATTTTGTTTGACGTTGTATTTTGACAATATTTTTTATTTTTATTTACAATCACTACAGTCTGCAGACTACGCAACTCCTCAACTACATATATTAGTAGGATTAGTTATCAATTTATTTATCAATTATAAATTGGTCTTTACAAGTTGTTAACATACAGATTTTACATACAGACTTTTAGTGGAGTTACATTGTTTTAAATCGAGGTTTTTTTTAAAACATAGACAATAGAAATAGAAACCATTTATTGCAACGCCACATTATAAAAAAGGCACAAAAAACGAATATAAATAAAAACAGGAATAGCACAAAAAAACAACGTAACACAAGTTGAAAAGTCCAAGTGCCTGTAATTTCACCAGCACCTCCATTCCTAAAAACCGGAACGCAGAAGTGCTCAACTACTGCTTGGCGGCAGAAATAGATAAGATGGCAGTACTTTCCTGGACAGACTGCATTTTGCTAATGTTAAATTATATGTCAGTTAATTATTATCTTCGAGTTTGTCTTGTAACCTGGAGGTGGCCTGGAAGAGATTGCTATCTAGCAATAAAGTTGCTGGTTATACCTTTTGTCTTTTTTTTACGCATATCTTCTTGAGTACAATAAAAAATATTTTTATCTTTGCATTGCCATTGTATTATAATTTTATACAGATGTAATAATTAATAAAGTCAATGCAAGGAAGCTTTTAAACGCTGGCGTTTGAAATGAAATGATAACGAAAAAGGACCCTTTTCAACCGCTTGTATGTGATATTGAGCAGGAATGCCGTATTCAATTTGTTTATTTCGTGTTATTTTGTATTTCACACATATATTATGGTTCAAAATAAATCCTGTAACACGAAGATATAAACTATTTACAAATATATGTAGGCTGTATAAATATTTACCCCGGCCCGGAAACCGAACCCGGGACCTCTGCGTGGCAGTCCATCATGATAACCGTTCGTCCACGGAAGCAGTTGCATATGTACAAAGTATAAAATATAACTTTTTACTAATTAAATTTTTATTGAATTGATATTCAATTATTTTTTGTGAAATTACTCCACTAGTTTGTTATAATTATTAATACAAAGATCGAACACTCAGAAAAAACACTCAGAAAAAATTCCTTCGATCCGGTCGGATTCGAACCGACGTCTTCTTGCATACCGTGCCAGACGCTATACCAACTAAGCCACGGAACGAACCAACGGACCTCACGAATTTTTCTATGTGCTTGCGTCGTGTCTTTGTACTTGGTCTTTCAATTTGGCTTAGTTGGTATAGCGTCTGGCACGGTATGCAAGAAGACGTCGGTTCGAATCCGACCGAATCGAAGGATTTTTTTCTGAGTGTTTTTTCTGAGTGTTCGATCTTTGTATTAATAATTATAAATAACTTTTTACGTTAAAAAAAAACAACCTCAAAAGTTTTTTCAATTTCCATGGGATCCCCTCATCAGATTCTGACTTGGTGACAATGGGACCACCACGAGAGTGCATCCTTTCAAACAAAAAAAGAATTTCAAAATCGGTCCACAATTGACGGAGAAATCGAAAAACATGCGTACAGCCGAACGTATAATGTCGTAGTTGGTTAAAAAAAGACTTAATTTTACTGCAGAAAATGTTTATTTCTTGGTACTAATTCGACGGCAGCAAAGATTAAGCTGGTACTTGTCTTCTTCTTCTTTTTTTAGTATCGATGGCATACACTATAATGCTTTGCATTGTGGTGAAAGGATTTGCCGATCTGCGTAAGGTACTCGCCAATTGTTGCCCAAAGTGCGCCAGATGTACAGGGAAAGAATGTTACGTCGTCTGGGGAGGCTCCTTTCGTGCGGTATGCACCCCATTCTTATTATAATTTTAGTTTAGGTTGTTTTTAAAACTACGATTTTAAAACAACATTTTGAACAATGAGACAATATAGAAAGCGAGCTCGTTCTTAAAGGATATTCAGAATGTCATATATATTATTCTTTCAAGTTTTTTTTTTTGTTGAAATAGGTTGCCAGATGGTCCTTCGTATTCTGTAATCAAATTTTGTATTTTTTGAAACCTTACTTGTCAAATCCTTTTTTTAAATAAATCATTAACTAGCAAACAACATTTTTAAATTTTCTCCACGAGACATTATTAGCACGTAATGGAGAAAAAAATTGTAGTATGGATAAAATTGTTTTATGTGAACTTTTAATGTTACATTAAAATAAAATATTGCTCTCATACTCAAGTTTTTATTTTGCGAGTTTTCATTATAGACCTGTGTTGACATACTGACTAGAGTGTTCGTAATCTGTAATCAAAATTTTATTCTTCTAAATATTTCAAAAACTTATTTGTCATATAGCTACTTCAAATAAAATCACTAAAACTAATATACAACATTTTTCCAAATTTTCTCCACGAAAGCACTATATTTTTTACTTTCAAACTCTACTGTAAAATTCAACTTTTCAATTCAAAAATTCTTCGAACAGACTATAATAATAAATGTAAGGGCAGATCGCTTCCTGCACAAATGCGGAAGACCGCCATGTTTAATACGGCACGTATTGTTCGCCGGTTCTTGAACCTGAGTTCCTGATCCCAGTCGACTGTGCCATTGCCGGAAAATACCGCCTCTCCCATTTAAAAAATCAAAATTAATCTTTTACGCCATACGAGAGGTGAGAGTCTAAAATATCCACCTGTCATATGTGTATGTGTATATTATCAATTAAGTCTGTGTGCTTTTTCCATTGGAAACCAAAAAATGAAGGTGATTTGTGAGCACAATGATATACAAAGAACAATGGCGAAATAATTCTTAAAATATTTATTTAGCGTCTTCAAACGTCATAATTACTAATAAAATAAATTCATTAGATTTTCCAAAATTCCAAAGAAATAAAATGAAATTTAAATGGAACTCAAATGACTAATTAATATGTAACCATTATCATCTACAATTGTTAGTGTCTTAACGTTGAGCGACATATAACCTGCAAAAAGAGATTTTCAATACCTGCGTATAGGTTGGTGGACGAGGTAACTATATATAAAATAATTTCCTTTGAACTTTCGTCAGGTCAGAAACCCACGTCACCATTCAGCTTCTATTAACTCTGTTTAAAGCTTCTGTAGTTTATTTTGATATAATAATACACCGAATATATTTTACTCGCAGTATATTTTATTTTCGTGGCAATGGAGCTCCTCGTGATCGTCCAGGGAAGTACGGCAGTACTTACCTATTTCTGTCGCCAAGCAGTAATGTCAACATTACTGTTTCCGGTTTTGAAGGGTAATGGTGCTGGTGAAATTATAGGCACATGGGACTTGTCAACTTATGTCTCAGGGTGACGGGCGCAGTGGCAGTGCCCCTGATCTTTGCGATTTAAAGCTCTGAGTGGCACTGCAACTGTTATGGACAGGCGTGTAGCTTACCATCAGGCGCACGACTTGTCTGTCCCGTCACTAGATATTATTTAAAGTAAATCAATTATATAAAATATAACCTCCAAAACTTCAATCTGGAATATCTTTAATTCTAGACTTCTCAGAGTAGTAAACCTCAAAACAAATTTGTTCAGGAACTCAAACTCTATATTTCACATATTTTTCATAAACAGACGCTTACAAATTATGTCATCAATAATTTATATGAGAGTTCACCGTTGTTATTTGCCGAATTAATCGTGTGTCAATTGCTATCTTCACGTTTGAAAACACTCGGTTATTAGGATACGTGTTCGATAACACGGGTCGGTGCGTAATGCAATATGGGGCTTAAAACTCAGTGATAGCGTTCCATTTAATTAATATGTAGATATTAATGTTTGCAGTAGGTACTAAAACAACGGAAAACTTTACTGCTTTTGGGCGGTTGTCACGCGGTGACACAGCACATTAAGATATTAAAATTGCATTGACTTTTATGGAATCTCTTTATAACGTGTCACACAACCGTCACGTCGCAAGTCATGTGTATTCACTGCACAAAATGTGTGTCGTACTGAAATAACTTTGTTTTCTTCTATTTGTCTGCTCTGAAAATGTTGTATTAGATAGCAACATAAATATATAGCGTTATGTTTACTGCTTTGCGGTTTTTAATTAAATTTTAGGCACATGAGACTTGTCAACTTATGTATCGGAGCGATCAGATCTTTGTGATCTTTGTGATTTGTCTTTGAATGGCACTGTAACTGCTATAGACAAGCATGTCACTTAGCACTAGGCTCACGACTTGTTCATCTCGTCTCTTAGTGTCATAAAAAAATCTGACCTGGCAATGGCTGCATTCAAGCAAAACCTAACTTTACTTTGAAAGTCACGCTTTTCAAAAAAAAAAACGAATTTATGCTATGAAGGTGAGAGTGAATAGACATTATTTATGTGTACATGCTATATCGTCGTCCTCATCGTCACTTTCCATCAGGTAGATGGAGGTCAAATTTTCTAAGAAAATTAATGATTAAAAGCCTGATAAGCCGAAAAGCGCTATCTCAATCAGAGTAGGTTTTGAGAAAATCGACTATTTGTAAATTGTATTTTCGCAACTTCAAAAACAGCTCTTTTTGAAGATGTTAAATTTGTTTATACGTGTTTTTGACTAATAAATTTTTTGTATGTACACCTATGTGTACGTCACACATAAATTATCCATAAATAGTACCATTATTCCTATTTTGATTATTTTTTATTTTATTTATTTTATTCACAATTAAAAAGTTTACAAAAAGGAACACAAGACAGCGAATAAAAACCATTAACAGATTTATGTATCGCTGCCATCACATGCTATCAGGCGTCAAAATAATT